ATGTTTTAGAACAATCGAAACAAAACATTCAAAGATGAAGGTTCCCCCTTACCCAGATTTCTCATCTAGAAAGCCGCTGTGCCTCGGGGAGCAGGATACCTGGATTTGGAAAGAAACTTGGGTGTAATCTACCCCTCCCTTTTGGGCCCACATTCCTGAGCCCTTTCGTGGCATGAATGATGGAAATTAATTGCAGTTAATCATTAATCTGTAAAGAGCAAGGAGAGGCCCAGGCTTGGGTGGGGCCCAGACACTTAGAGAGGGACACCTCCTTAACTTCCCTCTCTGTAGGACTGGGCACCCTCCCCAAGTCTCCAGATACAGGGAAAGGGGGGCACAGGATTGAGGAAAGGGAACCACTTTCTATTTTCCTCAACAACCCACTGAATGGCCCTCTCCTGTGTCCTCAAGCCTTATTGGGGAAACTGGAAAATCCAGTTACCCAGCTTTCCTCTCCCATTTTCCCCCAAACACCTGGGCTTAAGGATTGAGTGGAGTGTAGAAAGGCAGGCCTGGTAAGGAGAGGCCAGCCAGAGCTTCAGACAACTCTTCCATCAGGGAAGCAAGAAGCAAGGTGGCCACAATGGGGGCCAGGATGCCCTTCTTTCTCTTCCTGACTCTCCTGGGCAGCTCACAGGGAACAGGTGAGGGCGGGATGGCTTGAGGCCTGGGTGCTCATGGCAGGAAGAGGCCAAAGAGGAGGGTGAGAGGGACAGGGCACCCAGTTCTGAGCTCTCGGTCTGGGGCTGAACCCCTGCATCGATAGGTTCTGAAAGGCCATTGTCAGGGAAGAGGAACGGGGGGTAGGGGGTGTAGGGGAAGGGGTACGTGTGTCTCTGAGGGAATATGGCCCTAATTACTGGGCCCTAAACTCTGTTTTTGGATCCCTAGGGTCAGGAATGATTTTACAGCTGAAGCTGAAGGACTCCTTTCTAGCAAATTTCTCCTATGACTCCAGCTTCCTGGAATTGCTCGAAAAGGTAGTTCTTTGGGAGGGGAGAGAGGGCTGCATGACCTCAAAGTGTATTTCTGACTCATTGTGGGCCTCTCTGCTGATGTTTGGCCACCACCAAGGGATGAGTGGGAGCCATTTTACACCTTTCCCTCTAACCTTTTCTCTCCCCCAGCTCTGCTTCCTCCTCCATCTCCCATCAGGGACCAATGTCACCCTCCGTCATGCAGGATCCCCACTCCACGTCATCTGCAAAGTCTGAGAATAGTCGAAACCTGTGTACCTCCCTTGGCCCAGGCATTTGGCCACCAAGGTACAAAAGGGATGCCCTAACCCTGCTGAGGGGCAGTAAATGTAAATTCAATGACCTGCCTTTGTGTGTTCATGAGCAGAGGTCCAGCAGGAAAACAGAATTGGGAGCGCCTGGATGGCTCAGTTGATTAAGTGATTGCCTTCAGCTCAGGTCATGATCCCGGGGTCCTGGGGTTGAGTCCCACATGGGGCTTCCTGCTCAGCAGGGAGTCTGCTTCTCTCTCTCCCTCTGCCCACCACTCTCCCTGCTTGAGTGCATGCTCTCTGTCAAATAAATAAATAAAATCTAAAAAAAAAGAAAGAAAGAAAGAAAACAGAATTGGGACACCAAAGTCTCTGACTCTCCCCCTTATTAAGCAGAGAGTTCCAGGACGGACATCCTGTCCCTCAACACCAGTGTAAAAGGCCTAGAAAGAATCTGGGGAATTAACTGTTTCGGGACACACACACCACACTCATATATACCCATGTGCGTGAACTAACACTTCAAGCTGAGATCCTCATAACACCTAGAAATAAAGCAAAGAAGCCTGTATGGAGTTCTTTTTTTTTTTTTTTTTTAAGATTTTATTTATTTATTTGACAGAGATCACAAGTAGGCAGAGAGGCAGGCAGAGAGAGAGGAGGAAGCAGGCTCCCTGCTGAGCAGAGAGTCCGATGCGAGTCTCGATCCCAGGACCCTGGGATCATGACCTGAGCTGAAGGCAGAGGCTTTAACCCACTGAGCCCTCAGGCTCTCCGCCTGTATGGAATTCTTACTTTGTTCCCGGCTCAATGCTTTCCCATTTCGATGCTCGCAGCAGTCTTGAAATTTACAGATGAGGACTGAGGCTTACCAAGGGTAAGTCACTTGAAGGCCATCAGCAGCAGACAAGTCCGACACCAGACAAATGCCTTAGCTTAAGCAAGATTTTCATTTCATCTCTCTCTGCTTCAGCTTTGGGGCTGGGAGCTCAGGAGCCCAGAGAGCAATGTGGACAGAACCTGTGTGACTCCGCACAGGTCAGTTAGGGTAGGAGGTAGGGGTGGGAGGCAGCCCCAGTGGGAGATAAGAGGTTCCACCTGTGAGGAGATGGCCAGCCTGGTGTAAGTGGTGGGGAAGAGGGGGGGGGGGGGGGGAGGGGGGGGGGGGGGGAGCAGAGCTCCTACTGGCTGACTCTGAGGACATTCAGTCCCATAGGCCTGCACTTGAGTCCTAGGTAAATTTCTTACCTTCTTGGTGCCTCCATTTCTTCACGGGCAACATGGGAATGACTGATGGAACCTGCTGCTTGCACTCCTGGGAGGATTGCATGCATCAGCCATTTAGGACACATGTCAGATCAGTAGGAATCAGCAGTAAAGGTGGTTAAGGTAGAACCCTAGTCCCAACATATAAATCCTTGTCCCCTCAGGGATCCAGGGTCCTCCTTCTCCTGATAGTCTTGACACAGGCACTCATCTGACTCCTCACCCAAGATTATCTTGATTTCTTACTACCTCTCTCAAAATGCAAGCATGCAGCCCAAACCTGACCATTTGGGAGTATTAATGTAATCGTTTCCTGTTCTCCATAATCCTCACTCCTGCCTATCATAGTTCCCACCTACCACCATCACCATGTGAAATTAGATGCTGACTCCTTTGGAGGGAGGTGAAGGCCTGGCTCTGTATAAATGGGGGAGTTTAAAAAAAAAAAAAACTGTGCAACAAAATTCCTCTAGTTTCCTCTACAATTGTCCTGGGACCAGCAGCCTAGAAGAGAAGCAACTGGGAGCCGCAAAGGGCCCCAGTGTTTCATGACTTGCTCCTAGCCCGCACCAGTGGGCAGGTGAGCCCCAATGGGTTCAGTATAAGGCCCTAATCAAGCTGGGAGACTGGATGTCTGGATATCCAAAAGACTGGAGGAGCAAACAGCTAACTGCTCCTTAACCTGATTCCTAGATCTCAGGGCCCAGGATCACCAGGCTGTGATTTTCTGATTCTTTTCTCAAAAATCTCTCTTCCAAGACTGACCTGCACTGACCAATATGGTAGACACTAGCTATATGTGGCTATCAAACACTTGAAATGTGGCTAGTGTGACCAAGGAGCTGAATGTTTAGTTGTGTTTAATTTTAATTAGTTAAGTGGCAACTATTTTGGATAGCATAGCCCTAGATGGTCTGCCTCAAGCCTTCCCAGCCCCCTAACCCACAATGGAATTTACCCCTGCTCTTGCCCCCAACACTGGTCTCCTTGTTACACTTTTGAGTACTCAGGGAATGCTTGCATCTTAGTTTTGCTCTGGCCCTTCCCTCCCACACATCCTACTTGGCTAATTCCTACAACTCCGGCAAGTCCTTGCTTAATCTCACTTTCACAACAAGTTCTACTTGACCCCCTACTTAATACTACAATCTGCTCCCCACCCGTTACCGCTTTTTCCCCAATAGCATTTATGACTCAGACACACTGCAGTGAACTTACTTACATGTGTTCTCTTTACTAGAATGAAAGTACAAGGGCAAAGATCTGTTTCACTCATTGATGAATCCAAGGGTCCAGAATAGGGCCTAGCACACAGTAGTAAGTACTCAAGAAGTACTTGTTGAAAGGGGGAAAGACAGGAAGCTGCTGCCCTCCTCTCCTCTCCCTCTTCCTTCTAGGTGGGATGGGGCCAGGGGAGTGGGGAGGGAGGATGGGAGCTGGAACAGATCTTAGACACCAAATTGGAAGGAGTGCAGCAGAATGGCACAAAATCAGATTCAGTGAGGTGTGGGCCTCCATTTCTGCAGAGCCCTGCCCTACCTCTGCCCAGAAGAAACGTCCACTTTGCCTAAGCCACCATTCTATATGAAGCTTGCTTATAGTGGCCAAAAAGAACTGCACCTGTTTACTGGGTTGAATCCCAGTTGATATTTGGGACAAGTTGCTTTTATTCTCAGAGGACATTTCTTCATTTCCAAAATGGAGCAAACATCTACCATGAGGTTCTCCATGGCATCACTGAAGACCCAGACCCTGATAGGCCCACCATAAATAGTAGCTACTCAGAGCTGCTGGACAGATTATAACTTGGACGTGTAAGAAGCAGGCCCCCGAATTCCACGGGGAGGACATGAGATGTTCACGGTGGGTGGGTGGGTGTCTTTATCTGTGGGGACGTACATGTGGACACCCTGGTGTCACGGACACAGAATGGAAGCAGCACTCTGGCCCCAGTGCACCCTGCAGCCCCTCGGGCCTACAGGAAGTACCTACTCCTCTCCAGCAGCCCCCAAGATAAGGCCAAGGAAACAGGGGAGCTTCCATCTGGTGAGGAGGAAGGGCCAGCAGAAGCCAAGGCACTGGCAATAATTCAAAGAAGTAGGTGGAACCCAAGTCACCGTACCCAGATGCTCCTAGGAAGTGCCTCTCTCTTCCAGTGAGGCAGGCACCACCAGCATACACCCTTCCACTGCAGCAGAGCCCAGGGCTAAGAAGTAGTCCCCTTCATTTCCTAGACCAAAGTCTCAGGGAACAAATGAGACGCAAGAAAGTCACCACTAGGGGAAGAGGGATAAAAGGATCACAGACAGTAATGTTTGGGATTTTATTATTTTTTTTTTAAAGATTTTATTTATCTATTTGACAGGCAGAGATCACAAGTAGGCAGAGAGGCAGACAGAGAGAGAGGTGGAAGCAGGCTCCCCGCTGAGCAGAGAGCCCGATGTGGGGCTCGATCCCAGGACCCTGGGATCATGACCTGAGCTGAAAGCAGAGGCCTTAACCCACTGAGCCACCCAGGTGCCCCAATGTTTGGGATTTTAAAAGTTTATCTCATTCCTAAACTTCCAGGTGGGACTACATAGGAGGGAGGCTGGGCAGGAATGTCAGCATCTCGAGGACACCCAGTGACACCGACCAAGCCAATCTGTTTCCCCATTTATGAAATGAGAGAGGTGAGCCACATGGTCTCAGAGACGCCATCAATGCCAACAGCTGCCAGATGTTTGTCCCCCTAGGCAAGGTTTTTTTCTCCCCAAGAGTGAGCTGGCGCTCAGAGCTCCCCAGGGCCGGGATATGCATCCATCAGCTGCCGGAGGTGAGAGGCCGCCTTGTCCAGCTTCGACAAGTCCAACTGGAGGGAAGAAAGCTAGACAAGAAGAGCAGCAGGTGAGGATCCAGATATTAGGGCCACACCCTCCAGCCCACGTGCCTACAGGGAGTCAGTCCTCCAGCCTCACCCTCTGCTGCCTCTTAGTGTCCGCCTCTCCCTCTGATGGGGTCCAGGCCATGAGGCCATCAAGCTGCTTCTGCAACTTGTGTCTTCGGGCAGCTAGCAGAGACAGATGGGCCTGGGGGTCCACCAGGCCCTGCGGGAGAACAGCGAGGGTTCAGGTTTCTCTCTGCACCACCCGCAGCTCTGCTTCACCTGCAGCCTGTCCAATACCTCTGTCCACCCCATTCTCAGGAGCTCTCCTCACTTTTACGGAACCTGCCCCTTGCCCTCCTCCCAACATCCTTTCGATCCCTCCCTTCCTCCTCCAATCTCCTCTGGGCACCTGCAGCTCCATGTACACCTGAGTGGTGTCACTGAGTGGGGCCTGGGCCCAGCCGGAAGGCGCCGCAACACCTGGGGGTAAGAGGCCCATGACCCCACAGCGGCCCAGGGTGCCCAGGGGCTCCAGGAAGGCCTCAAAGAGGCCCTGCTCTCCAGGCTCTGAGCTCTGCAGCAGCACTGAGGAAGAAAGGGAAACTGTCAGGGTCAAACCACAAGATCCTGCTTCCCTGCCCATCCTGCACCTCCTAACTCTGGACTCTGCCCTCCAGGCTCCCCCATGCTCCTCTGCCAGCCCCCTCTTTCTGCAGGACGTAGGGACCCAGAACCCAGCTCACCTCGGGGCCGGGCCTTGGTGAGCTGGTATGTGGCTCGGAAAGCCCTCAGTGCCTGCACAGCCTCCTGGACCCGGGAGAAGTGCTGCTCCAGCTCTGGCTGGCGCCAGTGCTCCTGCAGATGAAGACCCAGAGCTGACAAGCAGGCTCCTGGGACACAGCAGCAACTCTCCTGGCTCTGTCCCACACCTGCACAACCCAGTCTGCTTAGGGCAACAGAATCTGTCCTCCCCACCACACACAGAATTCACCACCTCAAGCAAAACCTGGGGCACTGCCTATGCAAGTCTCAGTTGACGGCTGTGGTTGATGTCTGTTAACTGTTCTCATCAAAGGTGAACGACCAGAAGTAAGTTAGAACTTAAACTCTATTACTCAAAACTCACAGAACCAAATAAGCATAAGAAAATTTACATAGTTAAACTTTAAATCACTTGGGGGTGAGTTTATGGCCTTTACCCTTCTGATATTATTAAAGCTTAAAACCACAGATATTTGGGGGCCATCCTAGGACTAACATCTAATCCTCATCATAACCGTGGCTAAAGATGGGGAACTGAGGCACGGTCACACAGTAGTGTGGTCCTGCTCTTGCCCACTGGGCTAAGACTGCCCCCGCCACAGCCCTGCAGGAACAACTCATCCTCCTAAAGACTCTAAAGTAGACCTGAGACCCCACAGCACCACACCCTTCGAGAAGACTGCTCCCCACCCCTTCACCCATGGTCCCGTTCCCATGGGACTCACCAGGCTGTGGGCAGTGGGATAGGGAGCAACACAGATGCTAGGGGCAGAGCTGCCGCCAGGCCTGGGGGGCAGCCTCTGCCAGAGCTCTTCAGCCAGAAAGGGCATGATTGGGGCGAGGAGGCGGAGACCGACATCAGCACAGGAGAACAGGACCTGAAGGGGGTCTCGGGGATGGGGCGAGTGCGACAGCACTGGCTTTATAGCCTCCTAGGGAAGAAGCCATAGGGTCGGGGGCAGGCCAAAGCCACAACCACATCCTTTTCCCACACATCTGCTGCCCTGCCCATGGAAAATGCTGTGGGTAAACACAGGTAGGAGCACACAGCATCTTGGACACCACTGGTTGTCCCAGAACACACTTTGGAGCAAATGAAAAGTAGAAATCTATGGCCAGGATTCTCAGGGGTGGGAAGGGGGATAAAATTGTCAGCGTGGTTTGCATAGTTTTGAAAGCAAAGCACTGAGGTTTTTGCCTATCAGAAAGACAGAGGGGTGCCTGGGTGTCTCAGTGTCTCATCTGCCTTCAGCTCAGGTCACTATCCTGGAGTGCAACAGCATGGAGTCCCTCATAGAGGCCTGCATCGGGCTCCTTGCTCGGCCGGAAGTCTGCTTCTCCCTCTCTCTCTGACACTCCCTTTGCTCATGCTCTCTCCTTCACTCTCTCCCTCAAATAAATAATAAAAAATCCTTTAAAAAAATGATTCTGTAAATATTTAACATTTAAAAAAAATAAAGAGTTCTCTGCCAGGGAACCCGATCTCAAGGGGAACAGGAAGCAGGTATGCAGGGCGGAATGAAACTCCGTGGCCCCAGTCTGACTTACCAAGTAGACATCACAGAGGTTGTGGAGCCAGAAGTGGTGTAGGGCATGGGTGATAAGTGAGAGCTCTCGAGCAAGGAAGCCTCGCTCACACTCCTGGGCAGTATGGGCAAGACGGCTCAGGATCCAGGCGTCCATGGGGGACGAGGGGGACAGCTGCAGGCAGAAGGGGGCTTCAGGACGGGATAACTGACTCCCATCTCCTTTCCCTCCAAACCCCATCTTCAACCCTCAGACACCTGATGATTCTGCCCTTCAAGCCTCTCTTATTCTCTTACCTCCTCTGCAGGCTGGGGTACGAATTTCTCCCCTAAGGCATTGAGGATAAAGCGCAGGGCATTCCAGATTTTGTTGCAGAAATGCCGTGAACTCAGGACCTCAGAGACAGACAGGTTCAAGTCGCCCCCTGAGAGGGAGAGGGAGCGGGGAGTGTGCACGTGGGTGGCAGTGGCACAGGGAGTCCTGGCCCACCCCTCTATTGTGGGGCCTACAGCCCTAGCCCCTCCCTCGCCCAGGCTTACCTAAGGCCCCATGGGAGCACAGGGCGAATCGCAGGGCATCTGTCCCACACTCAGGGATCCCATGAGGGAAGTCCTTTCTCTGCAATCAGAGGGAGAGGAGGTATGGCCGATGTCTACGCAGCTGCAAGGCCAGAAACCTGGGCTACGCAGGAGACCGGCAGCCATGAGCTTGAGGCTGAGAGAGGCAGACGCTGGTGACTCACTTGTGCTGCAGTCGCGATCGCCAGCTCTGTGGAGTCCAAGTTCCCATCCCTCAGCTTTGCCTGCAGCACCTGGGATGTGTAAGGACTTCAGTGGCCTTGGTCAGGGACCCTGCCCCTACAAGGCTCCCAGCCACTATCCCTTCCAGCTGGCCCCTCTCTCCTCAAGCTCCCGTCTCCCCCACAAATGCCATCCTTCACAAAACTCTTCATCCTGACCTGCAGGTCCACCCCATGGATGATGTCTCGTGGGTCCAACACATTCCCCAGGGACTTGCTCATCTTCCGGCCCTGCCTGTCCCGAACCATGGAATGAAGGAGCACCTGGGGGCATGGAGGGAGTCAGCAGAGGAGCTGGGGGAGCCTTTCCCTGGAGGTGATTTCCCTGGAAGATGCCTCTGTGCATCAGGGGTTAGAGGAGTTAGTAAATCAGGAAAAAGGAATTGGGACCACAGACAACAGCATAATTGGGGTTAGAAGAGAGAACAAGATTTAAGGAAAACTGGGGGGTCAAAGAGAGGGGCTGGGCACTGAAGGGCCATTACCTTGCTGAAGGGGAGCTGCCCTGTGAGCTGGGTCCCCAACATGACCATGCGGCCCACCCAGAACAACAGAAGGTCACTGCCCGTTTCCAAAAGTGACAGGGGGTAGAAACGAGCGAGGTCTGGGGTCTAGAGAAAAAGAGAAGCAATGAGAAGCCAAGCTCTGTGCCTATAGCTCTCCTCAAGGTTTTTGGGGGAGCAAGGTCTTTACTTCATCATCCCCACCTTCACTCTCTTCCTCACAACCCGCCTCACCTCTTGGGGCCAACCCAGGGCAGCAAAGGGGAAAAGAGCTGAAGAGAACCATGTGTCCAGGACATCAGGATCTGGGAAACAGAACAGGGAATGGGGGCAGATGGAACCTCAAACCCACTGCTGTGCATCTTTCCAGCCCAATGCCCTCCATCCCTGTACCTGTCCCCCTCAACAGACACCATTATCAGGCCCTCTGCCTCATTCTCAACTTTCCCAACACCACCTCCTCCACCTCAGGATCTGCTCCCCAACAGCCCAGCCTCCCACCCCTGCCCTCCACAACCCAGACACTCACCCCTCTGCAGGGTCAGCTCTGCTCCTGGTTTCCCTGTCAGTTCTGCAGCTATTTTTCTGGCCTCGGCCTCTGTCCGCCCAACCACCCAACAGTCTCCTTTATCACCCTACAGTAAAAGTTAAGCGGTGGAGAGAGTGAGGAAGAGTAACACCCACCAGGTGTGAAAGAAACATCACTGAGTTTCACATTCTCCCATGTGATCTAGGAACAGCTGGCTCCCTCTGGCAGTGGGAGGAAGAAGGTCCAGCTCGGGAGCTCTGACCACATGGTGAGTGACATGACTAAGGGCATGAAGCCCAGGAAAGGCAGGGAGCCGGGACTGGCCCTGGAAGTCCTCTGACTCCTGTGCTATGGCTATTTCTCCCTCCACCATGCCCAGCCCTCCCATCCTCTTCCACCTACCAACCTTCGTGTGCCCCTCCACCACCAGGTAGGCGGGAATCTGATGGCCCCACCACAGCTGCCGGGAGACACACCAGTCCCTGTGGGAAGGACGTCAGTAACTCCTTGGCATAAGCAGGGCATTGCCCCACCCCCACCTCCACAGAGCTCCCCTCACCCTTACCCGATGTGGGAAAACCAGTGCTGCCAGTTCTTCTGGTGGAAGGATGGACTGAGCTCTAGAGCCCCTGACTCCACAGCCTGGAGAAAAAGGCCCTTAGACAGTGCTTCGCTTCCTGCACCTGTACCCTCCCGGATGGGACAAGTGGCCTCTGAGGTGGTGCTATTACTCAGAAAGGATCTCCCAAGGCTCCTGAGGAACTTCTGGGTTTGAGTGGGAGATGAGCCAGCCCCGTCCAGGCCACCCTGCCTCCATCCCACAGCTGTCCTCTCAAATGCTGGGGCCAGAGGTCTGTGGATCAGGAGGCCTCAGCCTCCCTGTTTCTTCATTCCAGTTTGCAGGGAGTTGCCGCCACCCAAGGCGCTGGCCCCTTCCGCACACTGCAGCCTCACCTGCGCAGCTCGGTCCCCCATCTCCTGGCAGCGGACAAACCACTGGCTCTTCAGTAGGTATTCAACCACATCCCCAGAACGGCTGAGAAAGAGACAGGCTAAGTGTGCTGCTCCTTGGGTTCTGTGCTTTTCCCCCAAGGGACATGGGACCCTACTACATGCCAGGCCCTCAGAACCGAGAATAGAACAGCAAATAAAACTGACACAGAGCTTCTGTTCCCTCGCAAAGGGGTACGTATAGAGCCCACCCTCTCGCCCTCGTCAGCTTTATGCACGCCCTTCCTGGAGAAGTCCTACGTAAAAAGAGTTAAAATGGGATTACCTGCAAATAGGAAGCACCATGGGGTGGCTCTGGATGCCTCGGAACAGGCCCCGCTCCCTCAACGCAGACATAATCTTCTCTCGGGCCACAAATCGGTGAAGACCCTGGGGAGATGATGGCAACAATAAAGGGTAAAGGTTGCTAAAAAAATAAGAACGAGAGAGAAGGGAGGAGGTGAGAAAAGGCAGAGAGTGCCCCCAAAGAATGGGGTGACACTGAGGCCAGTACCACCTGCAGCCAGTCCCCGCAGAGGGAGGTCATGGTCCCATCCTCTGCAATGACACTCAGGGGGCTCAAGCTGTGCCGGGCCCCCAGCTCAGCATCAGCAGGGCTATGTGCCGGAGTCACCTTCACTGCCCCTGGGAGAGGAGAACCACCGTGAGCACTGACCCCTCACCTTTTCCAGCGGTTCTGTCATTGCCCACGCCCCCATCCCTCCCTTCTCTTCTCGGTCTATGCCTCCTTCTCGTCTCATTATCCACTGAGACTACCCTCCCCTCCTTTCCTCTTCCTGGTGCTCCCCACTCCTCCAGAATCCCCAGCCTATTTGCCTTTCTGTGACCTCCACCTACCTGTGCCCACATGTGGCTGAACAGCAGAGTCTGTGATGAGGGGGAGAAGCTGCCCAGTCAAGGGGTGACGAAGCTGTCGTCCATGCAAATGCTGAAAGGAAGGGAGCGAGATCAAGGACAGGCACGCATGTGGAGTGCAAAGGTCTGGGCTGAGCGTGAGAACCCTGGGAATAATAGGGTGAAAACCAGAAGGTAAAGAGCTAGAGCAGTGGTCAGTAAACTTTTTCTTATGGGGCCAGGGTGTATTTAAGCCTTTACAGGCCAAGAGGCAAATTCAGTCTCTGCACAATTACTCTGCTCTGCCACTGCAGCAGTGAGGTCATGATACCCAGTTGCAGATAATGTGTAAACAGGCAAGTGCATATCATACAAAAACAGGCAATGGGATGGATTTGGCCCATGGGCCATAATTTATCAACCAATGAGCTAGAAAAAAAACAGAACATCAAGAAAAGAAAGGCATATAGTCAGAGACGCTGGAGAGCTGACACGAGAAAAATCTTAGGAAGATGAAACTGAAGGAAAGAAGGAGCTACCATCAAAAAAGGACAGGAAAAGCAAGCTATGAGGGAGACAAGCGAGTGGCAGAGAGTACACTGTGTGTTACCATGTATCGAGAGTCGTCAGGATGAACAGCCACAGCCACATCTCCAGGCAATGTCTCTGGCCTTGTGGTTCCCACTACAACCTCTGCATCTGAAGACAAAAGTCAAGCACTCAACACTGGTCATTGCCATGGCCCCTCACTCCCATAACTGGAGCCAGAAGAACCAGAAAAGGGAGGAGGCGAGAACCTGTCAAGGTTGAGCAGGGCCCCAGGAGCAACTAGAGAAAATTAGGAGCCGGGGGTTTCCATGTAAGCTGATGACCAGAAGCCTGGAAGGCTGTCTGGTGCTAAGGAATTTCTCAAAAATGTGCATGGGAGAAACAGGTAGATCATGAATAAAAGCAACCAGAATCCTTACATGGTGCCCAGAAAACACTGAGAGTTCTCGAGACCCTAATCACAAATGCTGTGCTTTCTCTGGGGCAAGCACCAGCCCTTCCTTGGGAAACATCCTCCGTCTATGCCAGCTAATCCTTCTTTGCTTTCTCTGAATTCTTCCAAGCACTTACTGTTCAAATCACACTTCAGAATTGATTTTTTGTCTCTTTCAGGGTAGCAGCCTCCTGTAAAATGATGCTAAGCTTCCGACAGGCAAGTACCACGTGCACTTTTCTCACGTGACACAGAATACCCAGAATAAATGCCCACCAGAATGCAAATACTACCCAAGGTTCCTTATGTGCCTCCCACCAGGCCATGTGGGAAATGGGTTTGTGGGTTCCTTCCCATCAACCCAACACATGCGCAAGAAAGCAGAGATAAGCAGGCAACCTTTCTGAGGATTACCCTCACCAGGCTCTCCATCCACAGGGAAGGCCACAGAAACGAGGAGGCCAAAAGACACAGGGCTGGGGCAGCCAGGCAGTCGAAGCTCCGTGCGGCCAGGAAGCGGCCGGCTCTCCACCTAGAGGAATCCAAGCAGCAGGGCTGGAGAGCAGCCTTTCTGCAGGCTTCCCATCTTCACTCCCCCACCTGCCCTGGGCTCCTTGCAGCCCATCTAAAGACACTCCAAGGATTCAGGAGCCACCTCTCCCCCTCAATTCAGTCACAGTTACAGAAACATTCACCGAGCACTTACACTGTGCGCCAGTATCATGCTGAACACCTTCCATGAATTCTCATTTAATTCTCACGACGCCCTCCTGACACAGGCATTTCCATCAGCCCTAACTGACTGGGGAAACTGAGGGTGACAGAGGCTAACGCCCTGCCAGAGTTCCCATGGCTGGTAGGTGGCAGGACTCAGTGAATCCTGGCCATCTGGCTGTGGAGTCTGAGCTTTTTTTGCCCACCTAGGAGCTCTCCCAACCTGCCCTCCTCCTCTGCCTCACCTCAATATCCGAGATGGCTGATCTTAAAGCGCAGGACCAGTTGACAAGCTGCTGGCCCCGGTACAACAAGCCTGCCTCGTAGAGTCGCACAAAAGCTTCAGTCACGGCGACCGAGGAGCCCTAGGAAATGACCTCAGCATCTCTATCCAACAGCCCCTTCTTAGCCCATCACCCCACTCAGGGACCCAGGCATTCACTCCCTACTACTACCCCCAACACACACAGCATCCTGCCTGCCCACACCTGTCTCTAGACACTGCCTCAATACCCACAGGGAGCAAGGCATGGAGCACTCACAGCATCCATAGTGAAGCACTCTCGGTCCCAGTCCAGGGAGGCCCCCAGAGCTTGGAGCTGCTCACTGATCTCTCCACCTTTCCTGTGCCCAGACAGATTTTGGTCAGCAAACTTGTCCTGAGCACCAACTATGTACCAGGCCCAATGATACTACCGGCAATGCCGAGTATTAGAGTATGGCATTAATCTAGCCTCTAGAAGCCAATGGAGACAGACACACAAACTCAGCAGGGAACTTCTGTGGCATTAAAATAAGTGTAAAGGTATGGGCGCCTGGTTGGCTCAGTTGGTGGAGCACGTGATTCTGGATCTCGAGGCAATGAGTTCAAGCCCCACACTGGGTGTAGAGTATACTTAAAACAAAACATAAAGTTCTATGGTAACAGAGGAGGGGGCAGCTAATTTGGGAAAAACCAAAAGAAGCTTTATAGAGAAAGTGGTACGTGGTAACAGACCTGTAAGAATGAGGGTAATTTCAAGCAAATGGAGAGGAGAAATAGGTAAGTAGAAGAGATGGTGAAAGGTAAGGAAACATGGGATAAGTAGACAAAAATTATACATACATGTCCACACCCACAAATATGTGCATTTAAAAAAATATTATATATATATATATATATATATATATATATATATATATATATATATAAAATACAGACACACAGACAGCTTGGAGACCCTGCTGAAAGCTAAAGGAACCCAGAGTTCCCCTCTCCAAGGAAGGTTAGGGCTGAATGGGAAGAGCCCATCGAGTCAGGGAGAACGGCTGGGAAGCAGGGCCCAAGCCTGCCACCTCGGCCCCTCCACCTCCACCCATCATACTCACTCCTCCTTCCACTTCCACACCTCCCTAAGGAATTCTTCCCGGCTCAGCTCGTGTCTCCTCACTCCTCTCTCCTTCCACAGTTGCTTCTCCACCACAGCCTGCAGTAAGATTAGGAGGCAAATGAACAGAGAATCAGATCACTTTGGGAAAACTCTCCTCCACCCAACAAAAGGGCAAAGTGGCAAAATGCATACTTGTGTAGCAATTCCTGCATGATCTGAGCCAGGAACCCACAGCACCTGATCCCCACACATCCGGTGCCTACAAAACAAACACCCTCAAGTGAACCCCTGAGCTTGCATGTTTATTCTCAATGCTTCCACACTACCTCACTTCCTCCTTCCCCTCCAGGAAAGCAAGCATCCCCAACCCCTCTCACCAGCGCACCAGAGCATCCTGTATGGCCACCGTCAGTGCATGCCCGATATGTAGGGAGCCAGTGACATTGGGAGGTGGGATACACATGGAGAAGGTCTCCCCTGTAGCCTGAGGCAGCTTGGTCTATAAAGTGGAAAAGTCAAAGAGCAAGAGATGACTGGGTATTACGTGGGGGAATAGCACCCTCTGGTGTCCCCAAGGCGGAAAGAACTGCAGGAAAGATAAACCAGCAAGTAACAGGAAAGGGAAAAACCTGCCAAGAAAACCCTTTGGACACCAGGGGTGAAGACAAGCTCTCCCATTTATTGGGCAGGCTGGCTGTAAGCTCTAGACTCTGAGGCTCAGTTGTGCCCACCCAAACTCAATGGCCATTCTGTCCTGGGGACCATTTAGTATCCCTCCCTTCCAGGTACTAACCTGATACTCTGGTTTGAAGAAGCCCTCTCGCACCCACCAAGAGTACCAGGCAGCCTCAACATATTGAGGGCTGTATGCAGGAGGCAGAAGCCGGGAGACATCTGCAGCAGCAGAGGAGAGATCCACTAAGTCCTGAACTTTGTTCCTGGGCTGCATTTCAGCAGCCCAAGTGGGCAACAAACATGTGAGTGAATAGGCCTTCAAGTTCCCTAATTACCTTTCTTTTTACCCGGTTCCGTGGGGATTTCATACAACACTACCTCCTTGGGAGTCCAGGCCTTACTGGATTCTGCAGGTGACTGGAAAGAATGACCAAAAACCGGGGGGTGGGGAAATACAATTTCCAGCCCAGGCATCTGAATCCAACCAGTCTCTTCCAGCCCCGTCCAAAGTTTTCTCAAAGAACCAAGGACAAGCTGATCCCTAACCTTGTTCTTTCGGGCTATCCCAGCCTCCAGCGCCGCCTGCTTCTCTCGCTGGCGCTTCTGTTTGGCTTCATGGTTCTTTCGGGAGATGGAGGATCCATGGGGCTTTGAGTGGGTAGAGAGGGCACGGAACCTGGGGAGGCCCTCTAAGGGCCTCAGCCCCCAGACTGGTGATCGAAAATAGCCCAAAGGCAAATGAGGCATCAGGAGTGCTTGAAAAGGGCCAAGATCTGTTCCAGATAGAGCACATTAAGAGATGTGGCTGCGTGGGTCACACCCTCTTCCTTATTCCCTGCCTGCCTTCTACTAGCACTGGTCTTTTTTCTTTCTACCCCCTCCCACAACGCTTTCTAGTGAGGGCCAGAGGGCATGGTGTCGGGAGTCTGCCGTCCTCAACCTCTGCATCGGCGACTGTGGCTGACCGCCAACACACAGACGGGGAAAGGACTCAGGCATTCTGGGAGACAGTCGACCTCAGGGCGCCCGAGAGCGAAACCCGCAAGGAGTCTCGCGCTACCCCTGGGCCCACTCCGCCCGGCCCTCCCGGCCCGTAGCACCGCTTCACCGCGTGGATCCCGGCGGCGGCGCCTCCCACCCCTCCGGAGGGAGCTCCGACGCGCGCTCACCGGGCTAGCCCGCCGCTATGCCACGGCGCCCCGCGGCCCCAGGCGCCAAGGGAAGCAGCGACTACGACCCCGGAAAGTGACCCGCGAGCCGCACGGCGCAGGAAGGCGGGGCCCTGCCCCGGGCATGCGCGGTAGCCGGCTCGACCCCATTCGCTGCCCTCCCGTCCAATGGCTGCCGGCGCCGCAAGAAGCGGGCCCTCCAAGGAGAGAGGAAGCCTCGCGAGGAGCGGTCCGGAGCCGCGTGGCTCATTTCCACAACTTTATTAAACAATTAATAGTCCGATGTGTAAATAAAAACACCTGAGTTCTGAGGCCGCGGCCGCCCCGCCCCACCCGGAGCCCGAGCTCTCAGGAGCTGTGCTTCTGCCGCTTCCAGAAGCGCTTGACGTCGCTGTGCCCCGCTGGGGTCACCACCATCAGCCGCTTGGCAGAGTTCTCGAACACCAGCACGCCCAACTCGCGAGCGTGGGCCAGCAGTAGTTCAAAGTCCACTTGCGACAGGAACTGGTTATACAGGACACCTGGAGTCCGCAGGGCAGGGGCAGCCGGGAGGTAGAAAGGGCAAAAAACGTGAGGCCCCTGCGGAGCAGCTTCAGGGCAGTGGTCTGGGCTTGCCAGCCACAATTTAAAAACTAAATTCTCGGGGCGCCTGGGTGGCTCAGATGGTTAAGCGTCTGCCTTTGGCTCAGGTCATGATCTCCAGGTCCTGGGATCGAGCCCCACAACAGGCTCCTAGCTCAGTGGGGAGTCTGCTTCTCCCTCTGCTTCTCCCTCTGCCTCTCCCTCTGCCTCTCCCTCTGCCTCTCCCTCTGCCCGTCTTGTGCTCTCTCTCTCTCAAATGAATAAATAAAATCTTAAAAAAAAAAAAAACAACTAAATTCTCTATGCCTGTCTGTCCTAGAGCTCATCCTAACAGTAGTGTGAGACAGCCATGTTCAGTAAGGCAATATAACACAGTAAGAAAAACCAACTAATGCTCACCACAGAGAAATTACCGTAATTATTGCTCCCAATTTCCCTCTTCTAGCTAAATCCACATTCCAGAGTTGAGACAATTTATTTACCACTGCACACTCACCCCCAAAATAAAGTGTCTTGCCAGCTTTTCTCTCCCATTTCATGCAATAAAAATATAAAATACATGAAAAGCTTTTTCAGTTCATCGAGACTAAACTGTCCTTCCCCTGGCCAGTGACCAAGAATCAACCACCGGAAGCCACTCACCCTCAGTGAACCGGAGTCTGTCCCTTTCCAGCTCCCACAGCCGAATCTGGTCTGTGATGGTGGGCGGCAGCACAGGTGTCTGTAGGGACAAGCAATGGCTGTGAAGATTCAGGAATACTGCCCCAGACAACCCCACCCCTCTACTCATTCCCCAGATTTGGCTGTCCCTTTCTCTTTCCCATCACTTCATCGCCAGGTGCCAGGAACTGTCAGCCTCCAGCAGCTTGCTACCTGTTTGAGCATCACTGGGTGCGCCCTTGTCCTTAGGAAATGGATGATCTAGGAAAACAGACAAGAATGGAATCAGGGGCTCAAGTAAGAGGGCAGGAAAGGTACCTAAACTGTCACCTAATGTCACTGGAATATCAGCTATTTAAAAATACATAGCCATATGCCTGTCATAAAGCCATCCCTGTTCAGCTGTCATCCCAAGTTGCTGTTCCCACTAGTCATGTCTGCTATTTCTTCTCTAGCACATTTGCCCTTTCGATAGTCCTGTTTTTTCTTTTTTAAAATAGCAGTAACTATTATTTTTTTAGCACTTACTGCATGACAGGCTCTGAGCCAAAGGTTTTACTGCTATTCTCTCATTGAATCCTCCCCAAACCCTGTGAGGGGAGAACTGTTATTATTTCCATTTTCCAGATGAGGAAAGTGAGGCTCAGAGAAGTGAAGCAACCAGGACATTTATGCAGCTAGGAAGGGGTTGGTGGTAGAAACACAAATCTATACCTCCCCCACTCCCGTGTTTTTTCCTGACGCTTAGAACCTTGACTTCCCTTCAAGTCTATGGTCTATGCTCAGAGACAACTCGCCACTATCTTCTCCAACAGAACCGATATCAGCCTTCTATAAGATGAGCACCCTGTACCCCATAGCTCAAGTGCAGCCTATCTTCCTGCCCCCGCCTTCCCCAAGTGGCAATACCTGCTGGGCTGTGATGCCACTGGCGATGGCCTGCTGAACACTCTCCCGGGTCACCTGTGCCACCACCATGTTGGGGAATCGATAGAGCATCTCTGAGAAGAGGGCAATGAGGGCAATCTGCAGCTCCGACTCTGGCCCAGGGATAGGAAGAGAAGATGAGAAGGCTATTCCCACACCCTGATTCCCTCAAGACCTTCAAGTATGATGAGGAATGCCAGAGAACTCTGTAAACTGCCAGGTAAACATGAACACAAACTGGCACTCCCTCCTGCTCCCTTCCCTCTCCCCACTTCCATCCTCTATCTGCTGCTTGGGGCCCTCTGTCTGGCCTCACCAGTGTAGGCATACAGTCGGTAATTAGTCTCCACGACAATGAAGCCTGGCTGATGGGCAGTACCCCCAGCTCCAGAAACACCTGATGAGAGATTAATGGCCAGCCGTGTGGGGTAGTAACGCCGAGATTTCCTCTGGAAAAGACAGAAGGGAAAGACAGAGGGCCGGCTCACTCTCAGGTGTCCCTAACCATCTTTCTGCCTGAGACACCAGACCCCTCTGATGGCAAGAGCCTCAACTCCCAATTTAACAACCCCAAGGGGCCTAAGTACTCAGTCCTGGCAACTCCCTTCTAGCTACTGCCGCCTGGGACCCCACTCTTTTTTTAGTATAGTTGACACGTAATGTAACATTAGTTTCAGGTGCATAATATAGTGATTCAGCAACTCTACACTTAGGCCACACTCATTATAAGTGTAACTACCATCTGAGACCCCACTCCTTTTTAAAGGCCAAGGCAACAGACCACCCTGCCTCTTTCCTAGAAGCCACGTATCTGGGTATGCATACCTTCCTCTGGAAAACAAGCCCAAACTCACGTAGATGTTGTAGGAAATTCAACAAAGAATCACTCATACCTTCCACGGAATAATCCTGGGGAAGAGAAGTGGTTGAATGGAATCAAAACATCCCGTTCTCCCCCTTCCCAAACTCATACACTCATTCCCTCTTTTCCCGTCTATGCTTTATTCATTCTTATCTTTCACGCTTTTGCCCATAACCTGATTTCCCCTTATCATCTCTCTACCCACCAACTTGCCCACTTAAGTCCCCAGCTCCATCCCCCTGCTTACCTTGCCCAGAGTAGAGAAACTGAGCTGGAAGAGGAAGGAGAGAATCTCCACTAGGTCCATGCCCCGACTCTAAGGAGGAATGCGCAGAGACAAAGGGGCAGAGATGGAAGGGAGAAAATGAGGGATCAGGGAACAGTCTGCAAGGTAGTCTCTCAGTGGGTCCTGAGAAGATCAGAGCATGTCAGCAAATAGCCTCCTCACCTGGGCTGTCTGCAGATACTGCAACATAAAGTACCACAGCTGGGCAGGGGTGTCCAGCAACAGGAACTGGAAGCCAGCTGAGGTAATGCAGGGCGGCTCTCCAGGTTCAGTGCTAGAGACACAGACAAGGACAATGGCAGAGATATGCCGCGAGAGGCCACCATCCCCACTTGTCCTCTCACATTTTTTTTTGTTTGTTTGTTTCTCTCTGGCCATACTCCACTCAGCAATCCTTTCTCATAACTGCCTGCACGCCTAGCCCACCCCAGATACTCAGTTTAGCAGGGATCTGATGTACCTCTGGTTTCCTCACCTCTTCATGAGCCCAGCCTGGCTGAGGAGCTGAGCCAAGTCCTGGCTGACAGCTGCACTGGGGGAGCCCACCATGAAGTGTAGGACCACCTGAGGAACAGAAGTAGATAGAGAGAACAATGCCTCTAAGGGCCACGAGACATAGGAGCACAAGCAGAGACACAGAGTCCCAAGTCCTCACCTCCCATCGCTCCTCGGCATACTTGTCAAGTGAGGGAACATCCCGGGCGTGCTTGTCAGGACCCAGCTGACTTGTGTCATCAGACCAGGCCTTGCCCCTATGCCAGAATGGACCAAGAGTAAGGAACCCTGCCTGTGTTCCCTGCCTGATCCTCTGTCCTCTTTCCCCCTTCATCTCTATGGGCTATGAGTGGGAGACATTCCTTTCCTACATCATGCAGCTACATCTCATCCAAATTATTCCTAAAGGAGCTCCCAAAGGTAAAGCCCACAAGGTTCCAGAGAGGCCCTTAGGGGCTCCCCCCCACCAGCAGTTTAAATACTAGTTCCCCTGGCCTAGCTTAGGAAGATGGAAGTGACATACCCACCCAGAAGGGCAATGCGGAGGTTTTGGCGGAAGATGGGGTTGAGGATCAGGCCCTGGAGACCACCAGGGAGCAGCTGGGTGTGCCAGATCCGGAGACCACTCAGCAGCCCTGTGCTTTCCTCTTGAGCTCTGAAACAGAAGCAGGGGTGTGTGGAGAACAAAAAGCAGGAGGCCCATAAAGGCCTCCATGTCTGCCTTTTCTGAACTGGTTTTCCCTTGAAACACCGTTTCACATAGCAAAAACAATGCCTTCTTAAGGCAAATCTTTACGGCAATGCCTTACCAGAACCATGTTGCAGACATCACAACTTTCCAAAAGGAAAAATAAAGTACACAGAATTTCCCAAACTTATTTAAATACAAGTTTTGGGGTGTATCCATTAACATTTCCTGGAAGTGTTCCAAGGAACACTTGGAATAGCTAGTTGTTGAGAAATCCGTATCTGGTTGAGCAAGCAACAGAGACTCACTTGCTGAATTCCTTCTTCACCCACAGGGCTACGGCAGCTTGTGGCAAAGGCTGCTCCAGAAAGAGCATCCGCATCACCCAGTTCTTAGCCAAAGAGGGGAGCTCCCTGGAAGGGGGTACAGGTAAAATGTTAATATCAGAAACTGCCTCATCTGCATCTCTGCCCTCAACAACCTCTCAAACATCTCATCCCACCCCCCACACCTTTACCAGTCTTGCTGCTCCCACTAGCTCCATCTGTTTTCGCCTAACACATTTCAGTCTTCCAGCCCCCCAGGGCTAAGCTTCAACTCATGATAACTTATTCCAGTCTGAAGGCCCCATTACACTTCTTCAACATGGTCCCTGCAATGAAGTGGGTCCTTACCTGAAGACAGCCAAACAGGTGGCAGGATGCCCATACAATCGATCTAATACGCCAGGGCTCAGGCCCCCTAGAAATTCCTGCAGATTCCTGCATTGTAGGTGTACTCGGTTCAGTCCACCCCTTGAGGGGGTGCTCTCCATCACCTGAGAGATGCCAGTTAGAAATGCACCCCCACAATCCATGCCAGTATCATCCCTCACCTCATTCCTATTCCAGATCCGCTGGCCCCCATCGTAACCCATCCTTTCTAAGATTTCCTCTTCCTTGTCACTCATCTCCTTTCCTTTCTCCCAGACCTGACCAACCTCCACTTCTCTCTTGCCTCCACGCCCCACTTCTGGCCTCAACTCCAGTCTTCTCTCAATTTCCAAACTGGAGAATTGTTAATTGTCCCATATTAGAAAAATCATTTTTTTATTTCACTGTCTTGTCTTATTTTTACCTAAGCAGTTGCAAGGAAACTTGTTTAAGCCCAATCCCCTCTCCGTTGCCCTCTCCTGGTCAGATCAGCCCATGAGCTCCAAATCTGTCAGTCCTTCCCATCTGTTTCTTGGGCCCACAGGTCCTACCGGGCACAACAATGAACTACCTTTCTCCTCCTTGTCTCCCAAATCTAAGTCCACCTCTCCTCTTTGCACCGCAAACTTCACCCCATTCACCCTGATCGACATGTCAGGTCTCCTAACTTCTCTCCTACTTCCCTCCTTCCCTCGCCTCTCACCCAACTCTCATACCTCCCCCATCCCCTCTCTCTCGGGCCCCCCCACCAACACTCCGTGTCGCTCCCCCCTCGTGCACCCGGAGTTTCAAGTCGTCGCTTAATCGGAGCTAAACTCTCGCCTTGGCTCCCGGGAATAGGAGAATGGACGATGGAAAATGAGAGAAAAAGATGGGGAGAAGGACAAACAACTAGACAGGGGTCCAGAGTAGAGGATTCAGGAGAGAAGGAAAGGAGGGGAAGGAGTGGAAAAGTAGGGAAGCTAAGAATAGGCGTTGCACTCATTCGCCCGCCGCGGGGCATTCTGGGAATTAGAGTCTTGTCTCGGCTCGCCCCGGAGTGGGCTGAAGCGCGTCTGACTACAACTCCCAAAAGGCACCGCGAGGAAGCCGGACGGGAGGGAGGCTGGCCTTTAATTGAGAGAGCCGGAGACATCCGAGGCCGTACCACTTGGTTCCGCGTCGCTTCCCGCTCACGCAGTTAACAGCAAGTCCGACCGACCTGGGCGAGAGGCGGGACCCCGAGGGCTTCCTGGCGGAGGCGGGGATATGGCTCCTAGGTGAGACTCTCCTAGAGACACACGAAACTGAGCTCTTTGAGCTCTTTGGCCCTCATGGAGTACAGCACTCTATAGAGCGTTCTTGCGAGGTAAGAGCACCTCACTGGGCGCGTGTGTACTCAGTGTTAATTTTACCACGTCCACCATGCTCCCACCACCCCGTTTCTTTAATACGACTTTCAAAGAAACCAGTTGTTGGGTCTGATTTGATTCATGAGGCTACTGCGGGGAAAGGGAAGGGAACGTCTTAAGCCAAAGCCAGAACTACAAGTATCCCCAAGTTCCTATAAAGCAAGGTTTATTATTCCCACTTTACAGACTAGAAGACCGAAGCCCAGTGAGATTAGGAAATTTGCCCACAATCGTTCATCTGGAAAAACCTGAGGCTGGGATTTGAAGTACATATGAGGGAACACGGACCAAAATGGCAAGAACTGTGTAAGACCCTGTTATGCTCACTCGTGCTTGTTTTGTTTTTCTGTTTCTTTAACAGTCCTGCATAAAATCCTCAAGAATGACACAAAACTAACAAAGCGTTTTTACGGTTAACCTTAAGTAAAATAAGAGACAAATTAGTCTGGAAGAAATATTTAACAAAACAGACAATACAGAGAGCTTTTACAAAGCAGTAAGAAGAAGAACAGAGTAGAAAGACTGTAGAAAGAGGGACTCCTGGATAGCTCAGTAGGTTAAGCATCTGCCTTTGGCTCAGATCATGATCCCAGGGTCCTGGCATTGAGTCCCACATGGGGCTCCCTGCTCAGCAGGAAGCCTGCTTCTCCCTCTGCCTGCTGTTCCCTCTGCTTGTGCTCTCTCTCTGACAAATAAATAAATAAAATCGTTAAAAAAAAAAAAAAGACTGTAGAAAGATGTAACAGTGGTGCCTGGGTGGCTCAGTGGGTTAAAGCCTCTGCCTTTGGCTCAGGTCATGATCCCAGGGTTCTGGATCGAGCCCCACATTGGGCTCTCTGCTCGGCGGGGAGCCTGCTTCCTCCTCTCTCTCTCTCTGCCTGCCTCTCTGCCTACTTGTGATCTCTGTCAAATAAATAAATAAAATCTTTTAAAAAAATAAATAATAAAAAAAGAAAGATGTAACAGGCAATAAACAGAAAAAATATGAATTGTTTATAACCAAATGAAAAAGCTCTCATCTTTACCAGTAATTAAGGAAAAGCAAATTAAAGAAACAATATAATATCTGATTAGAAAAAAAAATTAGGGATTGACAACCTCGTTGTTACCGCACAGGAGCATACAGTACTTATAATACTTCTGTTGAAAGTCGACTTCAGTCACACCTTTTAAAGGGGGCTTTGGCGGTATGTCCAGTTATTTGAATGTGACTGCCGTTTGACCTACCAACTCCACCTTTAGAAATGTATCATACTGAAGTTCTCCCACACGGATACAGAGATAGACATGCAAAGATATTTACTGAAGTGTGTCTGTTAGGGGCGCCTGGGTGGCTCAGTGGGTTAAGCCTCTGCCTTTGGCTCAGGTCATGATCTCAGGGTCCTGGGATCAAGCCCTGTGTCAGGCTCTCTGCTCTGCAGGGAGTCTGCTGCCCACACTCTCTCTCTGCCTGCTTCTCTGACTATTTGTGATCTCTCTCTGTCAAATAAGTAAAATCTTAAAAAAAAGAAGTGTGTCTGTTATTGTATTGTGAAAACAATGGAAACTGCCTGAATGTCCCAAAATGTGGGTCATCACAACAATGTAGAATACTGGCAACACTTAGAAAGGACACCATATGCATAGTGGCCAAACTATGTACTACCTATCATGAGGGGGAGAAAAGCAGATTACAAAATGGCTTGCCTAGTTCAGTGCCTTCTTTGTAAGAAGCTTTTTATGGGTGTGTAAAACTGAAATAGGTCATGTGCTTCATTTTGACAGGTGCAAACCAGCAGAAGCCGGGCGGACAAGGTGACAGTTCTCTATAGCATAGAGAAAACTCTTTAAGGCTACCCTGCCCAGAATAGGAGCCACTATAGCCACCTGTGGCTATTTAAATTTAAATTAACTAAAATTTTAACTTCAGTTCCTCAGCCACATTAGCCCCATTTCAAGTAGTCAATAGTCACATGTGACTAGTGGCTACCTATTGGGTAGTGCAGCTATAGACCGTTTCTGTGATCACAGATTCTCTTGGAGAGTCCTGCCTGAAGGGATGCAGTGAATGGGGGCAATTTGTCTGATGTCAGGAACTGAGTACAGGCTGTTTCTAGAGCTGGATCATCAGCCTGGGATCCTGGGAGCTTCCCCAAATAGGATTATCCAAACTGTGATGGAGAGTTCATAACCTCCTCCCCTCAGGCAGCATCCTGGAGAGAAAGAACAGAGAGCCCAGAGCCTACTGGCTGCTTCTGACCAGCTTTGCAGTTTCCTGGCTGTGTGGCCTTGAGCAAGTTGCTTAAAACAAGTTTTTAGGCACGTGGGTGGCTCAGTTGGGCCTTCAGTTCTGGTCATGATCTCAGGGTGCTGGGATTGAGTCCTGCATGGGCTCTCTGCTCAGCGGGGAGTCTGCCTCTCCCTCTGCCCCTCCCTCTCAACTAGTCGTGCACGTGCACACTGGTGCTTGCACTCACTCTCGCTTTTGCAAAAATAAAAATAAAATCCTTTCCAAAAAACAATTTTCTTTTCTGGGAAATGGCAATAACATTAACTATTTCATATGTTGTATTAAATAAGATATAATATGTAATAAGTATTGTCCTGGCATGTAATAGGTGCTCAGTAAATAATATTGTTATTCATTATTTTCTTTAAAAAGTAAAATCACACCTATAGTAAGTACTACAAAGAAGAAAGTCCTGTGCCTGAAAGCAGCAAGAGGGGATTTGATCTGGTTGCCAAGTGGGGGAAGATTGCTGAAGGACAAGCAGGACTTAACAAGGCAAAGACAGCAGGGAGGGGAACAAGACTCTGCAAAGGCCATGGCAGGAGGGACTGTGGGCGGTTGCAGGAACTGGAACTAGGCCAGTGGTGTATAAAGGACAGTGGGGGAGGATGCTGAAGAATGAGGTGGGCAAACTTGGTCAGAAGATTTTGTTCTTTATTCTAAGGTTAACAGGAAGCCATTAAAGGATTTGAAATAAAGTAGCAGGGTCAGATTTATGTTTGGCGGCAGCAGAAAACAAACCAAAGAGCAGGAATAGACTCTGGGAAACTACTGCAGTAGTCTGGGCAAGATGGAGGTAGCATGTGCCAGGATGGTGATGGAGATGAAGAGAAATGACAAATTTAAGGGAAATCTGGGAAGCAAGATCAGCAGACCTTCTTGATAGGTTGGCCTTGGAAGGGGAGAAGAGGGGAGAAGAGGCATCAGGGATGATCCCCAAGGTTTTGGCATGTGAAGCTGAATGGATGATGCTGCCATTCACTGACTTCGGGACCCCATGGAGGAGCAGGTTTGAATATTCTGAGACAAGTTCAAATGAATTCCAGGTGATTGCATATGTCTAGAGCTTTGGGAGTTCTCAGCTCACAGCCATGGCATCTGTTGTTCACCATTCTGGGTCCTGGCCTCTAAACTCCTGACCCATCAACGTGTCTTAAAACATAGATCACGGGACACCTGGGTGGCCCAGTCGGTTAAGTGACTACTTTCGGCTCAGGTCACGATCCCAAGGTCCTGGGATGGAGCCCCACATCAGGTTCCCTGTTCAGCAGAAGAGTCTGCTTCTCCCCTTATCCAGTTGGCTCATTTGGTGAATATCATCAACCAAGACCCCAGGGTCTTTATTTCACACGAACTTCCATCAAGATAAGTTTGCCTTTTCCACTACTTGCAAGTGATTTTTTTTTCCAACCTATTTAAAACTCAATGCTCTGTTGGTGGTTGTGGCTCATCCTTCCAGACCTCTGAAATAATTTAAGCTCTTGATTCTGGTTCCCACACAAATAGCTCACACCTATTGGCTCACCTGTGCATCTCATCAGCCAAATCCAAAGATTCTCTGCCTGGGACTTCCAGACCCTTGAAGGGGGGTCCTAGAATTAGGGCCCCAAAAATGTACACCTCTGTTTTTATTAACCTCTAACAAATTTAGCATTTCCTGCAAGTATGAATATAAGCAAAACCCCTGGTAGTATTAGCAGGACCCGGGACTTGTCACTGAGACACCACAGCTCTTTTCATATCCCACTACTTTTGTAGAAATCTTGGAGTATTGAGTACCTTTTATGCTTATTACTATTTGGAGAATGTTAGTAGTTATTACACCTCCTGCTAGATATTGTTATTAAATATATTTAAAAAACACATAGGTTACCATGTGAAAGGTTTTTTTTTTAACATTTTAGGAAACTCTTTCAATTGATTTCTTCTATGATCATATATGAGATATACGCATTTGTGTGTGCACACGTGTGTGTGTGTGTATGTGTAACGCATTTTAAAACAATTCTGAGGAGGAATCAGTAGACCGCTCTAGTCTGCCAAAGGGACCCATGGGTCAAACGAGGGTAAGCCATCAGGCCTAATTCAGCCCC